AAGCACAAAAAAAGAACTGGAACAGTAGTACGTATTTTAAGAAGAAAAAAGGTTTTATTCTGCTTCTTCTCCCCAAACAGAACAAAAAAGTAGAAATATCGCAAATCCTCGCAACAGTGGCCGCGGAAGCTGTGAGGGGACATCGGGGGACATTGACGTTTTAGGAAGGCCGGGTTTATATAAGATGGGGAGATGATACGGACGTCAAACAACCGTGGGGACATTGTCCTTCTATCCCCCCAAACTTCCGCGGCCACTGACCATAGATACACAAGTACAACTCTGTTCATGCGGGCAGTGGCCGCGGAAGCCGTGGGGACATCGGGGGACATTGTCATTGTATTAGGATAGGGGAGGGCCGGGGTTGTATAAGATGGGGAGATGATGCCGACATCGAACAACCCTGGGGACATTACCCCTCTGTCCCCTCACCCTTCCGCGGCCACTGCCTCTCAATACCGTCAGTTGCAGAGAAATATCCGCATCCACATAAAACACAAACTGAAAAACCAAACCAACGCCAAAACCAAACAGACCAATAAATCAAGAAATTGCGAGAAATGTGAGTACATCTTTTTCATGATGGCTCTCCGTGTGTGTGTTGATGCTTATGTTGTAGTGAATGATACACGTCCGTCCGTCCGTCCGTCAGTCCATCCATCCATCCCCAAGGGACCATTGTGTGTTGTGTGTGAATGACGACGAGCGATGGTCTAGTCTGTACCGTTGTCTGTACCATGACCAGCTCAGGGGGCGGATATGTATTTATTTTTTAAAAAATCGCGCAAATATGTACGATTTTAGGAACAAAAACGTCAAATTTTCTACGAAATATGTACGAAAAATGAAGAATTTTTGCTAAATTTGTATGCAAATATGTATTTACAAAAAATCGCTGAATTATGTATTTAATATTTAAGAAAAAACGCTAACATTTTATCGAATTATGTACGAAAAAGCAAGAATTTGTATTTCTGTTGTCAAAATGCTTAAGAATTTTGAGGTAGAATTTCTTCTTACAAACCAATTTCGTCTCTAATATCGTTAACATATTTACAAGATACATATGTAAATAAGTATTTACGAAAAAATATATAAAAACATTTCCGTATTTTTGAAACATTTATACGCCTGAAAACCTAGAAATATTTGACAATATGTAATAATCTTTTGAAATTTTTGTTATCTAAGCGAGTTACGCGACACACCCACAAAGTTTGACCGTCGATGGTCATCAAAATCAAAAAATTATCAAATAAATACATATCCGCTCCCTGAACAGAACATCACCTTGTCTGTAAGACAAGATTTCCTTCAATGGAAGCAAGTAAGTAAGTAATCCGCACGTCCAGACTGACCGACGGACGAGAGATCATGTCGACCAAGGAAAACGTGTCGTGAAGAATTATCCGAAAAGAAAATAATTAAATTCCATTGCACAACGGAACTTGAACAAATACTGTTTTTTTTCTTTCTTTCTCTTTTTCTCTTTCACAAAGTCAACAAGCACGTGGAACGAGAACTGCTATGTGCCAAAGTAAGATAACACGAGTGACAAGTGACGAGACCAAAGTCGTCTACTTACATAAATATTACAGTGCTTTGTGTCTTGCGGGTGGGCTACATTTCTTGCAGGGCGAAGGAAGAAACGGGAGAAATGTGAGGTGCAAGAAAGTGGGAGAAAATGCAAGAAATATGCTCCATTTTAACCACGCGGCGTATGTAGTATTTATCCCGGCGGGGCGTGGTTTCTTGCGCCGTGCATTTCTTGCAGGTCAAAATTAACACCTGCAAGAAACCACTTTCTCCCCCTTATTTGTTGCACGTGGTTTTTTACTTTCACCCGAAACACTGGCGGGAAGACATATTTTTTAAATAATGCAAACGTTTTGTTTTGCTTAATTTTTTGCCCAGAAATTCTATTTCCGTAACAAATATGACATTTCAATTTCAGTTTTTCGTTTCTTATCAGTTTACCACATTTCTTGCAGTGCAAATCAAGCCCCGCAAGAAATGCGAGGTGCACGAAACTGGGAGAAAGTGCAAAAAATACCCACCCGCCATACGAACTATTTCTTCCTGCCGGACTTTCATTTCTCCCACCTTGCATTTCCCCCCAGGTCAAAATATCCCCCTGCAAGAAACCACTTTCTCCCAGGTGATTCCTCCCATTCGAAACAATCCATATTTATTTTCGCCAACTTTCACCCTTGCCACGAGGCAGGAAATAAATTGCATGCATTTCTCCGCCATTGATGTCCCACGGGAGAGGCCAGACCTCCCTCGGCGAGAGTGGCGTGGCGTGGCCTTGAAAAGTCACCATTGTTTTGATGGTAATGCTTTCTCGTCGTCTTGTTCTTCTCGGAATTGTGATCTGATTTGCGGGGAGCAATTAGTGGGGAAAATCGCTCCGGCAAATCTGAAGAGGTGTGCGGAAGACAAGAGGCACAAAATAATTTGGAAATGGAATTGACTTTACTTACGCCAACAACAAACAACAAATAGTGAAAGTAAATGGCAGGTGGTGGTGGGGGGTTGGCTGTCCAGTGGCCGCGGAAGGGAAGAGGGGACATCTGGGGACATTAAGTAACATTGTAGGATAGGGGAGGGACGGGTTTTTATAAGATGATGAGGATATCGAACAACCGTGGGGACTTTGCCCCTCTGTCCACAAGATTCCGCGGCCACTGTGCATGCCTCTACTTGAACTCGTGCTCTTCACCGTGATGATGAGAGACTTCATTAAAGTGCTTGATATTTCGGAGGGTTTGGGCAAAAGGAGGTGAAAGTGAAAGTGAACAGGGGACATGGACAGGGTGCAAGAAATACCCCGGGGGAAGAAAGTGGTTTCTTGCAGGGGAATATTTTGACCTGGGAGAAACTATTTATTTCCCACAGCTCTATTTCACACGACACGTGGCTATTTCTTGCACTTTCTCTCATTGATTTTGATCTGGGAGAAATGCAAGGTGGGAGAAACTCCGTCCCGCCGGGGTAAATACTTTATACGGTACGTGGCTAAATGGCGCATATTTTTTGCACTTTCTCCCACTTTCTTGCACCTCACATTTCTCCCGTTTCTTCCTTTACCCTGCAAGAAATGTAGCAAACCGGCAAGAAACGAAACACCCGGGACAATAATGTCCTCACTAAATCGAATACTTATCAAACTCTGTACCACAATTTGGGTATCCGTTGAGCGGCCCCTGCCTGAATGTGAAAACAATGCCATAAGAGACGAGAATTTAAGAGAATTCGCATCTCGAGTGCATTATCCGTGTGCTCTCCTTGTTTGCAAAGCAGGCATCCCGAATAATTCAAAACAACAACACAAACGAACAACAAGATGAACAAATTGAGCACAAATGGAGCCTCGCTCGCCCTCCCTCCCTCCCTGCAGGCCTCAGTTAAGGAGGACTTGCAAGGAGAAATATCAAATAATGTTGATTTAGAAAAACAAAAGGAGCTTCTTCTCCACCAAACAGTGGCCGCGGTATGGTGGGGGGGACAGAGGGGCAGTGTTCCCACGGTTGTTGGATGTTCATATCGTCTTTTCCATGTTATATAAACCCGTCCCTTCCCCCTTATCCTACAATGTTAATGTCCCCACAGCTTCCTCGGCCACTGCTTCCTGAATAAAATTTGGCCTCCAACCGTATCGCGAGCAGTGGCCGCGGAAGGGTGAAGGGACAAAGGGACAGTGGTCCAGAGGTTGTTAAATGTTCGAATTATCTGTCCATGTTATAAGTATAGATTCCTCACTTCCCTATCCTGTAATGTTAATGTCCCCACGGCTTTCGCGGCCACTGGTCCCTAAACAAAGTCGAATTTTCTCCCTTACAGTGGCCGCGGAAGGAAGCGTGAAGACAAAGGGGCAATGTCCCTAGGATTGTTCGTTGATCCCATTATCTGCCCATCTTATATAAACCTGGACCTTCCCCGCCATCCGACAATTTTAACGTCCCCCGATGTCCCCACACCTTCCGCGGGCACTGCTCCCTCGCCAACAAAGTCGACTTCCTCGTCGCCCCTGCTGCAGTCTCGCGAGGCCTTTTTGTTTCCTTTGATGAGGATATTTACAAGGAAAAAGCGAGGTGAAAGCGTGGTCATGGTCGTCGTCTTGGTGCACCGAAAAGAAGATGAGTTCGGAAGTGTATCACGGAAACGGGAGTCACCCGGTTTGAATAAATTGAGAAAAACCGAAAAGAACTCATTTTCTATTTTAAATATTCCTTCTTATACCTTTTGTCTGATTGGTTTCTATACATCGTTACTTTTTTTGCAAAAATATGTAAATGTGTAGCTTGACATGGTGTGTGAAAAATGTTGCGAATTCATTGCCTACTTGATTCTACGTTTTGTCCGATTGGTTTCTGTATTTTTGCGGAAATGGTACATTGACATGGTGTGCAGAAAATGTTGCAAATTCTTCATTTTCGACTTGATCCCACCTTTTGGTTTCTTTGCATTGTTTTTTTTGCAGAAATGTTTATACGTTTTGTCCGATTGGTTTCTGTGGTTGTATTGTTTTTTTGCAAAAATATACGTTGACATGTTGTGCAGAAAATGTTGCAAATTCTTCATTTGGTTTCTAAATATGTATTGTTTTTTGCAGAGATATTTATACTGAAATACTGTGCAAAAATAATGTTGCAAATTTATTTTACACTTGATTCTACATTTTGTCTGATAGCTTTTTCTATATAGATAATTTTGCAATGATTGTTTCCTTTGGATAAATACTATGCAAATTGCAATGTTGCAAATTCATTTCCCATTTCATTCATTCCATATTTTACTTTCCCTGTAGTAAATTTGGCAATGATTGCAGAAAAACACTGCCAAGCTGTGCAGAAAATGTACCTATCTCAACTTACCCCGTTCCTACTAAATTATCCAATTTCTCTTTCTCTTCCACCTCACAATCCGATTATTTACTTATCGAGATGTCAAAGATGTCAACTAAATAAGTAATGCGGGTAAAAGTTGTACATACCTACCTTTTTTTCCTCCTAGAAATGACTGCCCTTGTCACACCGGAAATATTCCAAGGGGCGAAATGAACCAAGTTCGGAAACGAGGAGAAAAGTTTCTTTGTTGGTGGAACGAGTAATAATAAAAATTAGCAATTATAGTTCCCGCCGTAACGACTCTCGAGGGGGGGGGAAGGTGCAAAGGGGGTGTAACTACCTAGGGTAACTTCGTCTCGAAAGTACGTACAATCCCACCCACAAAATGTCACTCATACACTTGCAATTCGGATAACCGGCTTAGTTCCGGGTGCGACGACACAATTTTACTGGGAGGAGGAGGAGGCGGAGTAGTGGGTGTAACTGACAAGAACACCAAATGTCCCAAAGGACACAAAACACACACCAAATGTAACAAATTAATAAATAATTATAGTTCCTGTAACGGTTCAACTGGGGGGAAGGTGAGAAAAGAGGGGGTGTAACTGACAGGAAGGGGTCAACCCGAAGCAGATACAGTGTCACCCACTCAAAATGTCAGTCACTCCCTACAAAAGTTCCCTAGTCGAGAAATACTTCCTTGGGCACGTCTCCCCCAGGGGGTAAGATGAGAACGAGTGGGTGTAACTACCCGGAAGGTGACAACGTCCCCCCTCAAACTACACACAATGTCACCCACCCACACCCACAAAATGTCACCCCACTCACTCACTCACTATGTACATACACCCGCCGTCAAGAAGGATCACTGTCCTTAAGTAAGTAAGTGAAAAGGTGACAATCTCACTAATTCAGTCACCCACCACCAAACCCAACCACTTTCTCCTCTCGTTCTTAAGTAAAAGTGCTACCCGGATGATGAAAAAAGTCGTGAAGAGAGAGAGCTCTCGCAGAAACGTGACTGCTCGAGTCGGTGGAGAAATGCGGACTGAAACCTGCCCCAGAAGAGATCTTTTCCTCCTCAGAGTCAGAGTCGACTTTTGTGAGCTGTTGCTTATTGCACCACCAAAACCACCACCGTTAAGTTGAGACGCCAATGCATTTCACATTTCATGCACTTATACTACAGCCAAATCTCTCGCGATAAAATAAAATAAAAGTAAAGTAAGGTGAAGAACTTAGCACTCTTTTCTGTTTCTTTCTTTCTCCCCAATTTTCAGAATTCTTCATGTCGTGGGGACGTTTAGCATAGAAAGAGCGATGGAACTTGACACCATTAATCATTCTAGAGCGGAGGCCTCTTCCTCTTTAACGTGGTGGTGGTGGTGGTGGTCAGTGGCCGCGGAAGGGAGGGGGACAGAGGGGCAAAATTTGATGTCGTATATAAACCCTCCTGATCCTGCAATGTTAATGTCTCCTCGGCTTCCGCGGCCACTGGTAAGTAAGTAAGTAAGTGAGCGAGTAAATAATGCAATGCACAGTGGCCGCGGACAGAGGGACAATGTCCCCACGGTTATTATTCGATGTTTGAATCATCTCCCCATCTTATATAAACCCGGTCTTCCCTCCCCAATCCGACAATGTTAATTTCCCCCCGGCTTCCGCGGCCACTGGTAGTGCTAGTAAGTAAGTAAATGAACGAGTAAGTAACGCAATGCACAGTGGCCGCGGAAAGGTGCGGACAGAGGGAATATCCCCACGGTTTTTTGTCGAAGTCCGTATCATCTCCCCATCTTATATAAACCCGTCCCTCTTACAATGTTAATGTCCCCCGATATCCACCCAGCTTCCGCGGCCACTGGTAAGTAAGTAAGGAAGTGAGCGAGTAGGTAATGTAATGCAATGCATTTACCTGTTTTAGGAATCAGGACTTTGTGAAAGAGAAAGTCCTGACCAGTCGTTTGTGAAATCCGGTCTGAATTCTTAACCACTTTCATTTCACATCGGAATAAATTTTTCTCTTCCTTTTTTCCCTCTCTCTCTCTCTCCTTTGCCGAGGTGAAGGAGGGGATAAATTCATGGGTGGTTTTAGTAGGTGGTGGTGGTGGTCAGTGGCCGCGGAAGAAGGGGGACACGGGGTGCATTGTCCTCTTAGATATTTAGCAAAATCGTATGATCAAAACTCGCAAAAAACTCGGTAAAATCGTATTTACAATGTTAATAAGTCCGTCCTCCTATCTCACAATGCTAAAGTCCCCTAACTTCCGACACTCGTGGTAAGTGGCCGCGGAAGCCGTGGGGACATCGGGGATATTAACATTGTAGGGTAAGGGAGATTAATGATTTATATACGATGGGAAAATGATACGGACATCGAACAACCGTGGGGACATTGTCCCTCTGTCCCCACGCCCTTCCGCGGCCACTTAGAAAAAACCATAAATATACAAAAATTATGAAAACCAGTGGCCCCAGAAACCGTGGGGGCATTACCCTTAAAGAATCGAGAAAGGCAGGGGCTTATAAATACTAATAAATAAGATGTACATATTATACAAACATCGAACTATCTGTCCCCCCTGTCCCCTCTTCACCCTTCCGCAGCCACTGTTTTTTTCTTTATCGTATGTAATCACGGATGCCCCATCTCCCACGAGATGATATTATTCATGCCCCCACAAAACTAAACCTGGTGGGGATTATTTAATCCATTTATTCATTCTTGGCGGCCCGGATGGAAAGAAAGAAATGGAAATCGTCCTGAGCAGATTACGACCCAGATAAAAAATAAGGACGCCAGTGAAGTGCACCCACCTTTCGCAGGTAGCGTCGTCTCATTTTAAATATGTATGTGCAAAAAAAATATGCAAAGATCCGCAATTCTGATGGATGATGATCGAATTACGAATGTGCTGACGACGACGAGGACGAGAAGTCGGTACTTTTACGGGTGGAGGAATATTGTAATTGTGTCCGATTCGGGTGACAGTTATTTCCTCGGTTTGGTTGGATGGATAAGGGTCGTTACATTGTTGGGCGGAAGGTAAGGGGAGAAGGCGCCGCGGAAAGAAAGCTTGGGAATATTGTGAGAATTGATTTCTTGCACCGTTTCCGGCATTTCGTGCACTGCAAGAAATATGGGCCAGCATATAGGGATTGTCCACTAAATATCGCTCATTTCGTGCATTTCTTTCACTCCTGCAAGAAATTATGCTTGCAAAAAAAGACAGAGTTTCTTGCATGTGGATTTTTGTTCCTGGTAAAAAAATGTCTGAAAAGAGTTTAATAGGATTGGAAGAATTAGAAAATTCTATGAATGGTCTCATCTAATTTTCGAAATAGAAACACGTCCAAAATTTCCTGGGTAAATTATCTAGCAAAAACTTTCGTATATCGAAATGTCGCAAATTTGGTAAATGTTGCAAATTTATTTTTTCGAAATGTTACAAATTTCGAAAAACTTGCAAATTCTCAATTTGTGTGTCTAACAATTTTTTTTTTGACACTGTGTCCCCCTTTACGGTCCCCATTTACTTATCCGACCGACTGACCACCTCACCCGACTGCGAAGTATCTATCCGCTCATTTAGGTGGTCGTCATCGTGGGCGCATCTGGCAGATTGTTAGTGACTCCTGGATCCCATTTCATTCGTGGCTGACATTGTTATCCTCTGAAATAAAATACCTCCCTCCGTCCATTCCCAGGCTTGAATTACATTATTATTATATACGCCACAGGAAATTGTTTCACTGCTCACCGAGAGGAAAATCAACTCACTAACCGCCAACACTCACCAGCACATAGGGCGGATATGTATTTAAGAAAAAATATGTAGTGAATATTTACAAAAAAATAGTTACAGAATATGTACAAAAAAAAAACAAACAAAAATTTATGCTTACATATAAATTCTTTGGATTTTCCGTAATATTTAAGAAAAAAGTAAGAATTTTCTAAAAATATGTATGCGGATATGTAAATATTTACGGAAAAAATACTAAAATGTGTGCTTAATATTTAGGAAAAAAGCCAAAATATTTACTAAATATGTACGAAAAAATGACAATTTTCGAAAAATTGATAAAATGCAAAAAAACTAAAAATAATTATATATACGCCCTCTGCTCATCATCCACAAAAATTCATACATTTTCTGAATACTCTCACGTAGCGCTGAAAAATGTACAAAATTTATACGTATTTTCGAAAACATGTAAAAGATTTCCGTCTTTTCGAAAACATGTAAAAGATTTCCGTCTTTTCGAAATAATCCCAGAAATACTTATATGTCCAAAAACCTAGAAATATGTTCCAATATGTAAAAAAAAAATTTCAAATTTTGAAAGTAAAAAAAGTAAAAAAATATGAAATTTTTCTAATCCATGCAACTTCAAAGTCTTACAGTTAGTCAAATAAAAAACCTGAAAATGAATACATATCCGTCCACTGCTACTCATCATCCAGAAAAATACAAATACTTTGTGAATACTTTTGTGGGGAGAAAAACGATGGGGAAATAGCGTAACATAACGCGGTATCAATCTAGCCTTCATTACTTAATGGAGCTTTGTCATGGTATCATCGTCATCTCGCCTTGTTCTTCTTCCTTCTTGGTCTTGTTCTTCTCACTCACTCACTCATACCAACGACTACTTTTTCACTCCGGTGAGGAAATAAACCGCATGTAACCAAGGGGTGAAAGCAATATTTTATACTCTCCATTCGCAACGTGACCTCCATTTTGACCTCCAAGGTCACGAAATGCTTAATTTGATAGATGTCACAAATATGTAAAACTTGTCAATTTTAACAGATTTTAGATAAACAGAAACAAATCTGAAAGCTATTTTGACGTACTCTCCATTCCCACACAGTTGAACTTACTTTTACAGAAATTGATAATTCTGAGAAACTACGGCACTGTGTCTCAAATTTCCTCTAAATTATGCTGACTTTGAGACTCACAGTGCCGTAGTTTCTCGGAATGATCAATTTGTATAAAAGTTCAACTTTGTGCGAATGGAGAGTAATTTAAAAAATCTAATTTACAAAAAATAAGTTTAAAAATCTGTAAAATGAATTTCACAGATTTGTTTCTGTTTATCGGAAATATGTTAAAATCAATATGTTCCCCATTTTTGACATGTATCAAATTGAAGATTTCGTGACCTTTTATGTCAAAATGGAGGTCACTATTGAATCTAGGGTTAAATTTTCGGTTAAATTGATTCATATATGCAATTTGACCTTCACTTGACCTGTTTGACTTTGACCGGTGTGAACTATGTACAGGGTCCATCTTCGAACTCACCTTACCCTTTAACGTTAGTAGTTTACCCTCAAAATTTCAAATTCCCATGTCTGACTTATCGGACAGACAGACAGACAGCCGGACGGACAGACATACCTATCCCATAAAGTACTTTCCCCCGTAATAAAGGAGCGAGAAATTTATGAAATTGTCTCGTATATTTCACTTCTACTACCCGGGCCGGGCATCACCACTCGTAATAAGAAGAAGGCAACCCAAAAACCGACATTGATTTGACGTCAGCACTTTTATACCAGGTTTTCTCCCTCCGTACCTTTTGCCCTCGTGTCCTTGTCCGTGTTCTTGACCATCATGTCCTTAGTCAGAAATGTTTACCTTTTTTCCTCCGCGAGAGAGAGAGAGAATTATCTCTCAGTTTTATGGATCGTAACACCATTTAGCGCAGGAAAAGGCGATGTAATCAAGTCAACATAGAGGCAGAATCTTGTTTGAGGCTTCAGATGCATGCATGTCGTCCAGCTCAGTGGCCGCGGAAGGTGTCGGGACATCTGGGGGCATTAACATTGTAGGGTAATAAGGGATGGACGGGTAATATGCATACCTGTTCACTTTCATTCATTTGACTGATTATGATGGTGAATGAAAATGAATTTCCTGTTATTTGAATGAAAATGACTGAAGGATCCGTCATTTCAGATGAATGATTGAGAATGAATGGATTTTTTTTTCACTCTTTTCATTTTTCACACTATGTTTAA